AAAGGGACACGGGCGCACCCAGGAGCAGGTATGCCTGAAAGTAAAGCAGCTGCGGCAGGCGTATGCCAGGGCCACCAGGGGCGGCGCCGCAGCAGGGGCTGCCAACTGCCCCTACTTCCCCACCCTCAACCAACTCCTGGGGGCAGGGTGGTCTGTGCCAGCCCAGGAGGCAGCGAGCCGGGACCAGAGGGCCCTGACCCGGGTGCACCGGAGGGGCCACTGCCAGCTGTTCTGGCTCCGGTGTCGGCAGGGTCGTCCAGGGAGGCCATACCGGGTAAGTGCCAGCACTGTCCTCTTCCCGGGGAGAGGCGGGGAAGGAGACCAGGGACCTCACACGTGGGCCATGCCTCCCATGGATCACGCAGCCACCTGTGCACGTGTGAGCATGTGCCATGCCACCCTTGGGCAGGTGGCTCCAGCTGCGTGACATCCAATAGGCACACGCGTGTGTGAAGAGACCTGATATGCTTCTGACCCTGGGGTGGGACCCAGCAGGACACCCTCCCTTCACACACTCCCTCTACACAGAGGTAGGGGACATCTCCCACCCCCTGCCCTGGCCACACTATACATGGCACTGGGTGCGGTCTTGGGGCAGCTCCCAGTCCCAGGGAGAGCCAGACATCTTGACCATGGCCTCTGTGCAAGCACAGTGGCTCTGACGGTGCAGGGCATGGTCGCCCTCACGTCGCGGGGGGGGGGGGGGGGGGGGGGGGGTATCTTCCACTGTGTCCCCAGGGAGAACTGATCACTTCTCTTCTTTCTCTACAGCTGCACCAGCTGCTCGTGCAGAGCATACCACCCTGCCCGGGACATGCTCCCACACCCGCGGCCTGCTCCAGACCACCACCATGTGGCAGGAGTACTGGGACCAGCACCTGGGGGCCCTGAAAGCCCTGCATCGCACTGTCCAGGCCCGGATGCAGGAGGACCTGCAGCTCCGCTGGGAGCAGCTTGCTCAGGACCGTGCCATGTGCTCAAACCTGCAGGCCCTGCTGCAAAACATGCTGTGCCATGCCGGTCCTGCACCTG